TAAAAAGGATATAAAATGTTTAGACAAAACAATGTGTACACTCATCCTTATTCTTACATGTATTTTTCTAGGTCCTGTTTTTTTTCCTTTCATTTCTGTTACCTTTTCATCAAGCAATGCAGATTTCTACTTACAGTTACAGCTAAATGAATTCATTAATGAAGCCTAATCATGTACACTTTACCTACACATACAAAGATGTTCAGCTGTACTACAGGCAATTACGATTCATCAGGAAAAACCTAAACTCCCCCACACATACCAGTTCTATTAGTGACAGAACTAAAAATACCCTGCTGATACATACATGTATAATCTGACTCTAGCCACAACTTTATCTGGCTTGCAATTAAGGTAAAGTAATTTCACGTCTCTCTTCCTTGCACTTCTCATTCTGAAGGCCTTGCACCCCTTGTAATAAACTTTCTACTTTCTACCTACCTACATACCTACTATATGGTTAGTGCTTGAGCATTTTCCAGGCAACCCCTTCCCACATTCATATACTGCTTATTTAGTTATGGGTAAAGGAGTACAAGCCAAGTTGGCTTCTAACTAATTATATTAATTATGTTATATCACAACAAATTGCTGGCTATTCTTTTTACTGGATTGAAAGTCTCACATCACGTTAGAGAATTAAAAAAAATGAAAAAAAAATCTGCAGACAAAGGATTGACCCAAACAGCTGTCTCCAGATTATCCACAAAGAGATGGATATTAATAAGAATTTTCCAGTCAAAACCAGAACACTTTGGGGATTAATGCACTTCTGGCCTAAACTGAGAAGGTGCTCACCTAGGCAGCCCCTGTGATACCAACTGTCAGTGTAGCAAACGTCTTGATGGCTTTCAGTTTGTTGCAAATAGCAGAATAAGTCCCCCAGAGCTACCCAGCTTCCTTCCCCCACTGTAAAAGTGCACCTGGAATGCAGTGTGCTCCTGCGCATCTAGTCCACTACTGTATCTCATACACTGGCCCCAACCAGAGGTGTCAGAAGAAGGTGTAAAAATTCTGATAAATAATAATTATTGTGGAAAAAAATTGCCCAGGGGGAAAGGTTTTTCTCCATAACTTGTGTCATTAGTGGTTGAATAAAGCCCTTAATAGTGAAAGTTTATATACCTTCTAAATTATTGTTTGTTTTTTTTTGTCTCACAAGGTAACTATGGCTCCAGATTACATATGCATCCTACTAATTTCTGGCCCAAGGATAACTTCCAGCAATGTGTTCTATAAATTACTCATTTTATAAGCAAGTGCCAGATGTATCTAAGTGAGGCAAAACAAGTCACTGAAAATAGAAGAAAATGGGGCTCTTCCCTCAAAGTCAGTGATCCAAAATACAAAAATCACAACTTCGTGCTGGTTTCCTCATTTCTAGAATTAGAAAATACTGGTTCATACCTTAAAGAGTTACTAACAGACAATTCATAATCATTGCTAAAGAGAGGCATGAGCAACCTTTGGATATAAATTATGCCTCCTTAACTTTGTGATAACTAAGATTTGATGTCATAAGTCTCTGCTTGTTATTACTCTCCCCTTACTCTCCCTAACCACTAAGACTTCTGAATAAATCTACACAGACTCACAGACACCTTCTGGAATTTACTCCCAGCTTTTTAAGGTTCCTCAGTGTTCCTCAAGCCTAATTTGGTTTGGTCTACAGACTTATACTTCTCAGGTGGAAGGCAGACAAGAATAGTTTCCAATGCCTTTCTCTATTTTTTTTCTACTTTTGAATATCTAGTTCCATGACCAGCACAAGTTGAGAGGGTCCTAAACAGTTTCAGTGCATGGACTGCCTTTGTAGAAAGAAAAACATTTAACAACAAAGGCATATGATAGTTGACTAACAAATACAGATCCAAAATGAAGAGGAGTTTGCATTGCACATAGTTTCCTTCGGGGCTTTCAGCAAGAGTTTAGCTGTTTTACTAATCTGAAGACATACATTAGAAAGGCAAAAGCTCATACCATTTCCCTGTAAGCGTTGCAGCTTTAATACCTTCCCACCCAAAAGCAGCTGGGAGCAAGTCTAATAGAGAGAATGCACAGAAATTATCTGTTGGGGTTTTAGCAGGTTTTTTTGTTTTTGTTTTTGTTTTTTTTTTTTCCTTTCTTTCCATTTAATCATGTCTGTCTGGGCTTGATACTCAATGTAGTCAATATGTTGTAAATTTTAACTATTTGTTATATTTATTTGTCTCTTTTCTGCTAGAGTATAATTCACATAATTCTTTAGTTTTTCTTTAGTGTAGAAGAGATTATTTTTTTCTACACACTACTCCTTTCAAACAGAAAGCAATAACTAGTGTAACAAAGTATATGCTGGCACAGCAAACATTGAATTTCCCCCACCAGTAGGCAGGCTAGAACATTAGTTGACTGGGCTGTCTTGCCATTTGCAATGGGAAACGTATCTTGTTACAACAGGGCACAAGTCAATTTAAGCAGTCACAATAACACAGTTGCTGCACCACATCAGACAACTGAAAAAGAATCCTGCTGGTTCTTCAAAAGGCCAGAAGCAGAGTAGATTTCATGGTTGTTTTGTTTCTGGCAGATCTCTACCTGTGTCACAACTATAATTTTCCCCACATCAGACTTCTCTGTCATAACTGAAGTATTATTACTAATAAATGGGCATAGAATATGGATTATAGGTTAGGGAAAATTCTGTTTACAAAATATGTATATGGGTTCTCAATATAAGGAAAAAATAGCCGCATCTACACGAAAAGGAAGTTGACAGATTTAATCATATGTTTCCAAATCTGAACTGGCATAAAGATTTAAAAAAAAAAAAAAAAAAAAAAAAAAAGTAATAACTTCTTACACCACAATTCAGAGTACATAAAACAACCTCTGCATTATTGTTGGAACTGAACCTCCCACAGTGCTCAACTTTCTGTGACCCTGTCCTACCAACATCTCTTTAATATTATGAGTGCTAAAAATAATACAATTATAGCAGCACAGGCTTACCTAAAATAAGAGAGGCAGTTTAGAGATGTTCTTTACGGCTTCCATTAGTTTACAAAAAAGCGCTGCAGAAGCTTGCAAGTCTACCTGGTCAGCAAACATGAGTTAAAAAGCAACAACTAGTTAAGAATGAAAAAAAAAAAAAACAACCTAACAAAAAAACATCTTCAAATTCATAAGCTAAAATAAAATTTTAGATTCCAAAGAGAATTTAAAAGTGTGAAAAAGTATTACCATACAAAAAATATCAGAATACCAAATCAAAGCAGAATACCTAGCACCTCCTGTAATATAACCAAAAGTCATGAAAAGGGTTACCATTATTGCAAGGAATGGGTTATTTCAAGGACAGGGGAGTGTCATCTGTAGCGACAGGTGCCTGAGGTAAAATTGTTCTTTTAAAGAGCAAAGCAGAACACCTGGCTACAATTTCTAAGGATTATGGTATTTTACAATCACCCTTTTTACATTTAGTTCTGTTTTCATTAAAATGATTCACTGGTACTGCTTAGGATAGGCTTGTTTATGTATTTGTATGTATGTAAAGATACATGGGTTGGGAAGGGAAATAAATTATATATGTAATAAGATAAATGTATTGTGCAACCAAACACAAACACAAGCACAAGAGAAGTGATTTGCTTTAACCTCTATGCTAAACTACAGTCTTCTTTCATCCTGTTTCAGGATGATGTATCATTCCCCATGAAAGTCAAGGACAATATGGTATGCCATTTGAGCACTATCCTAGTATCTTCAAGAAGAACAGTCACGTTTACTTTACAAAATGTCTCTTCTCCATTCTCTGGCACTGCCCAACAATATTCACTGTTCCTTTGGATACCTTGACTGATTTCAGAAACAATTCAGCAAAGCACACAATAATAACAGTTATAACTCTGTACACAGTTTCCTTTAGAACATGCTTCCTGAACAACTATTGTAGCACACTGCATCTCTTCTCCCAGGCCAAGAAAAGGGGATTAAAGATGTCCACTGAAGAGGGCTGGACAGCAGGTTGAGAGAGGAGACCCAAAGGACAAAAGGACTCAAAGGGAGGGCTAACAGATCTAATGGGAGATTTTTATATATATAATATATATATATAGTGTGTGTGTGTGTATATATATATATATATATATATATATATACATACACGTATATGTAAAAGACCAGGCAGGCAGGTGAGATAGGGACATGGTCAGAGACAAAAAGCTGACCTGGAAGCTAGAGAGAGGACTAAATCTGGTAGAAGGTAGCAGACATGAGAACTCCTTTGGAGCTCCCTTGCTGGAAATACCCAAGTTTCAGCTTGAAAGGGGCCTGGATAATCTCATGTAAGGCCTTGCTTTCAACAGCAGTTTGGAGCAGATGATCTCCATATGTCCCTTTCAACCTTCACTTGTATGTAATACCTTCCATCATATTGCATGCAGCATACAAATTTTGTTCCAGAAAATGAGCTTTATTTGACTTTCTAAAAAGCACCTAAAAGAATTTGGACTCATGCAAGCAATGCTACACATAAGAACTGTCCTGAAAGCTTCTGATCACACAACTTCCCTCCTCATAGGAAAACTAACAGATGGAGTGATCATATGACCTTGAAAGACACCATTATACCAGATCACTAATTCCTTGAAACACCTTTGAATTATTTCACAGTCACAGGTCATTATTCCTTTTGTTATTGTAGCAGGTACAGTATGAATGAGTTACATTGAAGAAATAACAAAAAGGCAAATCAAGGCACCGTAAGAACACAGCAAGTACAATTTTCGTACCACCTGCCCTTTCTTTCCAGTATGTTTGGAAATAAATTTCTGCAGTATTCTCAGTGACCATATCAGTACATATGCCATTTTATAGAAGAAGCCATCAGTTCTGTGTTCCCATGGAAGAAAATCCTGTCAGCACAACTAATGGATATCACACGAATAAGCTTAGAAGCACAAGCAAGTGCACTGTCAAAACCATGTCATTAACCCACATGCTTATTTGTAGCAATATTATACACCCCACTGCCTCCAGTCACAGCTCAAGATAATCAGAATCCATGTTCAGAGTCATCTGATCTTGCAAAAACTGACAAAGTACCGCTAATAATCCACCACAATTCAGAAACTATACTGGATTTTAAAAGGCAGCTTTATTTTTCTGCCTTGTATTTGAGGCAGATTAAATCATTAAAAAGGAAGGGCTATCAGGTCATGATTTGTATGCTACAGCTGTCCAGTTAGAGTTGACAGACACTCTTTGCATGGGCTGTTGACTGATTAAAAGGCAGAGTAAGCCTCTGAGAGTCATAAATGGTAAATGGATGGGGGCGGGGGGGGGGGATTGTGATAAAGAAAAATACAAAGACTGATGGAGTAACTGACTAGGAAGAGTTTCACTTCTACTGAAGCCACAGATACTATCTAAAAAAAAAAAAAAAGAAAAGAAAAGAAAAAAAGGCACAAAAGAAACTGGATGAACACACTACAGATTTGAAGGAGGAATCAGAATAAAGTGTACGTTACTATTCTAATTCAGAAAGCTGGACTGAATCTTCTGCCAGGTGGGGAACAAGCAAAGCAGAATGACAGGTGAGATACTGAAGCATTCAGATGAAAAATACAATTACTCTATTCTCTAGGCATTTCCTTAATCTGTGTTTATTTTTTAATTTTACATTGGCAGCTGTATGTTGGCTTCTGAAGACAACTGTTGCAGAACAATATAATGAACTGAATTTATTGCTTACCTTGTTTGCAGGAATGCTGGATTCTTTCAAATGATTTTTACAATATAGAAGTAAAGAAATGCAGAAGATGTTTGCAATTTCAATATAAATACTATTTCATTTTAAAATGAAAATTCATGAGGAGTTTGCAAGTTAAACTGCAGTCTCAAATGAAGTAAAACTTTCATTTATACATCCATTATATTTAATCTTACAATAATACAGTTATTCCTTCAATATGGTATTCCTTGTTAGTAATTAACATTTGATCTCTGTAAGCCAATAAACAGTATGTCTTTTAATTTTCAAAGGTTTTCAAGTAGTAACTGACTAAGTATTTTTCATTTTGAAACAGTAAATAGTAAAAAAAAAAAAAAAAAAAGTTGAGATGTCTCACAAGCAATGTTATAAAAGGATTTATCACTCTGAGTCAAAGAAACTCAAATCACTCAACATGATCTGATTTTTGTATTTTTTTTTTTATAAATTTCATGCATGAAATGGCACCTTCTTTACAAAGGAAGATCACTAGCAGTACATGAAAGGTAAAAAATATTATTTTTTCTGTTAAAGCTGACCTGAACATCAGGGAGCAAATTATAATTATAAATAATAAATATTATTAAGTGCTCCTGTGACTTCATTTTATCTTTTTAACAGCTCCTTGACAAATGTTTGCAGAGTGTGTAGAAATTTGTATCTCTGGGAAGTACAGCTGGAATTCAGATATGGGAATTAAGCAATATGTGTAAACATAGATATTTTAAAGAATAAATTTAAAGGATCCAAATTTCTGAAAAAAAAAAAAAAAAATCAGTTAACTGTTTTTATACCAACAGTTAGAAACTTTTTATTCTTTTGACAGCACATTAACATTTTTTTTAGGTAGTAAACTAGTAGATTTTTAGGCAGAAACTAGTAAAAATGCAAAAAAAAAAACAAACAAAAAACAACTCATAAGATGTCGCAAAGTTATTACTACCATAAAAAAAGAGAAACATTATAATTTAGTAATTTTAGAAACTCAGTACAATTCCGTTCAAATATCACAGCTTTGCTGATGGCGAAACCCCCTGAAAATTGTTTGTACTTAAGATAAAGCCGTGGGAAGTACTTCACTTTAAGACCGCAGAAGCACTTCATTCTGGATGATAAAATTATTTCAGTACTATCTGTAACTTGCTAATGCACTGTAAAAAATATGACCTATATTTATGCTACCTACATTATAGTTTTTGACATATATCCTTTATATATATATATATATACCCTTTGCTCTTGTTATTGACCCCTATGGCCACAAGACAAACAATTTATAGTAATTTCAAATCATTATTGCTTCTTTCATTTGTGATACAGGCAGCTGGCTTTGGATGCTGAGTTTCATCTTGCCAATATATGTTGCTCACGGATGTCCTGAAAAATGTACATGCCACACAGTTTCAAAGACTGCAGACTGCAAGAATAGAGGACTTAGAGAAATTCCTGCCCACTTACCTCCTGGAATTCAGATACTACAGTTGCAGAACAACCATATTTGGAGAATCAACGAAAATGCATTTACTGGAACACCATTGCTCAAAATATTAGACTTATCTAATAATTCTCTCTCAAGTTTGGCACCAGGTGCTTTTCAAAAATTACGGTATCTACAGGTTCTAAACCTAACCAGAAATTTGATTCATTATATAGAAAACAAGACTTTCAGTTTCCTCCCACACCTCAAAGAACTGGACTTGTCATCCAACAGCATTATACGTTTGCCTGAGACTTTTGGAAACAGTACAGGGAATATAACATTGCTGTCTGTGAAACACAACAAACTCCAGAAAATGGAAAGAGTTCTGCTGGAGTCACTTCCAAACCTGAAAGTTGTTCTTTTCAAAGATAATCCCTGGCAATGTAACTGCAATGTCTTTGGCCTGAAACTGTGGCTGGAAAGTTTTTTATACAGAGGTAAGGAATTCTTCTCATTACATACAACGCACATAAGGACACTTAACCAGCATCTAAATGTTCTTTGCTGCTGTGGTTTAACAATTTACCTCACACCTTGCATCATCCCCTCAAATAAGCATACTAAAATACATGCTTATACATAGCTCAGAATATGTGTGCTTTCAAAATTACAGGTGGCAAAACAGAATCATAGAGGATCTTTGCAGAGAATAAGTGTGGATATATACAGTGTGCATATATACATTCTGAAAATACATGTAAGTAGTAAGCATGCACGTATATATCCGTATCTCTTTATATTAAATCTGCATCTATCTCTATTTCTACATGAAATCTGCATATCTATCTCTATATCTATCTGCATAACAAGTGTTATTTGTGCACATACACTTGTTTTAATTCTACGACAGTTCTTTTGGTAGAAACCAGTCTACTGTTCAGAAGTTTTTTAGCTGGTACATGAGGATAAACATCAACACAGATAGCAATACCAATTTAGCTTTAGAGAACTCAATATTCTAATTTAAGACTCTCTTTAAATTATCACTTGGTAGCTCTTTATATATATATTTTTAAATTTAATTAGCTCATTACCTAAAAGTGTGCAGTAACACCTTGTACAATCTTACTTTTGTCTAGTGTTGCTTCCTAATTTGTTGTTAACTAGGAGTAGTACTAAATTTGCTAGCAATGTCCTCACAGATATCACAGAATCACAAAATCACAGAATTTCTAGGTTGGAAGAGACCTCTAGATCATCGAGTCCAATCTCTGACCTAACACTAACAAGTCCTCCACTAAGCCATATCATTAAGCTCTACATCTAAACGTCTTTTAAAGACCTCCAGGGATGGTGACTCAACCACTTCCCTGGGCAGCCCGTTCCAATGCCTAACAATACCATCACATAGGAAATTCTGTACATAAAAGTAGCCTTAATTTTTGGTCACACCTGCTTTTAAATATATTCAAGAGTTATGCCGTATAAAAGAATATGATTTAATTCTTTTATATATCTCTGAATTTGTTTTGCTTACTGAGTTCAGAGAAACTTCGAAATTCAAGGTGATTAAAATAAAGAAAATGAGCATTCATCATCCCAAAGCGTTGTTGTTCATATCCATTTTACCTGCAGTCAATGTATGCAGAAAAGGAATTAAGCATTAAAAGAAATGTCTTTCTTTCCCCTGGGAGGTATGTTTGAAAATGGAGAATTCAAAACAGCAGTGTAATTAACTTTTCTCTAAATCAGGCTTTGATGCTTGAATGTGATATAAGATACTGATTACCTATCTGTAAATGAAGGTGACACATAGTGTGAAGATGGTCGATGTGGCCTGTAAGTGACTGGGCTGCCATCTTCAAGCATCAGAAGTCTACAGGCCAGCTGAAAAGCTGTAATGTCTATGCAGGTATGAAGAAAGAGTCTTCTGGGGGAGGTAAAACCACTGCCAGAAGTAATCTTTTAGAATAGACAAAAAGCTAAACGCCTCTCAGGGTTAAAATCTTAATACTTTGGGATCATTTAATATTTTACCAATCCAGAGCTTAAAGTTGCATTATGCTGGAACCATTCCCTACAACATATTTCAGAAGGGGTTTTGAGTTCTCCGTGCAGAAGAATTTAATGATCCAAGTAAACATACCAGATTATTTTAATTACTCTGCCAGCAGCATAAATTCCATATATTATTTTAAAAACCAACATTATTTAGAAATTCAGTGATGCCCTTCCAGTTTTCTGAGCATTGCATAGATAAGTAAAATGAAAACTTGCAAGAGATCTTAAAGGAAGCCAACATAAAGTGTGCTCTTCTATGTTTGTCCTTCCCTGAAATTACTTGTGTTACTTGTGTGAATCATATGAAGAAAAGCAAGTTGTATTGCACATTCTTATTACTTATACAGTGTACTTATGACAAAAGATTACTGTGGCTCTACAAACATTTAAGTCCTAACAAAGCACTGCTAAATATGGAATACAGTCTGAATTTGGCAGTATTAAGTGATTTGTCCAATACAACTCTGAAAGATAAATTTTAGCTGAATCCAGCTCAGGCAATTGACATTTGATGCACACTCTTAAATAATTATAAAGAATTCTTCAATTCAGGCAGAACTCTAGTCTTCTATCCCAAGCACAGAAATTTTAGTTTCTTATAATCTTAGAAGGACCACGCTTGTAGAATTTGGTAATTTATGTATATCCACATTCAAACTAACTTGTTGGAGGTTCCTGGAACCAGGCTTTACATTTGGCTATTAAAAACCAAGTGACAAGCTGCTATGCTTATATGTGTCTTAGAACATCATCAATATTTGTGGAAAAGTAGTCTCCACATTTCAGCTTGAGTTCATCTATATTCAATATTTTCTCAAAAAAAATCTTTTCCAAGATGAAAATTTCTGTGCCTGCCTTTAAATAAAAGGTGGTTTACTTCACATAGAGAAGAGGGAGAAAATTCAGCTGACTTGATTGAGTTAAATTTTCAAAATATGTAAACATTGGTTTTGGCCTTGTTGACTCCTTGACACACTATACCCCTAAAGCCATGATATATAGACTAATTAGAGCCCTGAAGGCTACAAACAGTGTGTGTTGCTCTACATGCCGAGGAACAACAGCGTGATTTACCAGGACTACTTCACTTCCCGTTATACTAAGAACATCCTTCAAGAGAGAGCAGAAGCTGGCTGAAAGCAATCATGAAGTTTACCCTTTGAACAAGCTAACAGACTGATTAATCTTAACTCCTTTAGATCCCTGAATATTTTCTTACCATGAACTTAAAAACATTTCTCAGGTATACAGCTTACTGAACTTTCTCTTTGCTTTGTTGTAATTAGTGTATCATGTCAGAAGAATGATTCATGAGAAATGACTGACTGAAAGGGTATGTTTCAGTCAAGTGGAATATGTTTACTAAGTATATTTTTTCAATTTTTATTTATGTAATATTATGTAGTATTTATGTAATATTAAGTAATGGTAGAAATTTGAATGCAATGAATTTGCTGTTAGCAATGTCTTACTTTTTATTTATGATTTCTTTCTTGCTTACCTTTATACTCCTGTTGTTTCTTGCTTTAGCATCCATCAAGCACAGATTACAATTCCTGATGAATTAGTACTTACAAATTATTTCTTCTATTAGTATTAAAGTGTAATAATCTTATCTTTGGTATAGCTGAAAAAAGATGCAGCTATAAATCTTCAAAAGTATGAAGTCAAAGCTGACTATAAGTGTAATTCATGCACGTGTTATTTTTACATGAAGAGAGCTCAGAAATTATAATAAAATCATAACAATCATAATCTTTTTACTTTTTTTTTTTTTCTTTTTTAAAGGAGGAATAAGTGATGGCATTATCTGCTCAACACCAGGGATTCGGAAGGGCAAGGACCTCCTCAAAGTTCCTTATGAGCTGTTTGGGGCATGCCCTCTTACAACAGCTTATGTTCATCTGACTAGCATTCATCACCATAACTTCGAGCACCGAAGTTCTCTGAAGCATGCTCATCACAATGAACACGCGGAAAACAGCTGGTCAAACTGTGATCCCAAACCAAAGCCAAGGCCTGTTAGTTTGCGTCATGCAATTGCCACTGTAGTAATAACCGGAGTTGTCTGTGGAATTGTGTGTCTAATGATGTTGGCAGCTGCTGTTTATGGTTGTGCCTATGCTGCAATTACTGCTAAATACCACAGAGAACATTTAGCCCCAGCAAGACAGCATGGGACTCCTGAGGAAAAAGAGCCATTCAATAGTTCCTTGGCTTGAGTTACTTTTGTCTTTGGTTTCTCCAAAATAAAGAGCCCTCACTTCAGTTAAAAAGACCATAATCTAAATAGAATTGATTTAATAGTTATGACTGTTTTTCTTTCCCTTTTCACATTGAAGAAATTTTATGTATACATGTATATTAATTCCTTGGAATAAATATAAAGACTTCATGTAGCAGAATGCAAATGTATCTGCAGTTTTTGCTGTATATTCTGAAGCCTCTATGTAAGGTTGAGTGCTAAAGATAATGAAATTTTGATGTAGCCCTTTCCAAGTATTCCATTCTTCATGACTAGCTCTTGAGGTAATATTAGTACAATATACGACTTATGGTGTCAAGCCAAGTCACTACCCAACACAATAGAGCTTTCTACAAAGAAAAATACAAAATAGCTATAAATTAAGAGATTTTGAGATCTTAGATTATCTGATATGTATTCCAAAATACAATTCATAGCCATTTTTAGAACTGGGCAGTCCATACACTGCCAGTGATAACTTAGAACATTTTTTAAAACATTTCTAAATACATTCCACTTGCCAATCTGCCCTAGGAGACAATAAATAAACATTACATCCATTATGTAGTTTAGAAAACAGGAAGTGCCTTGTTAGGCATCACATTTCATTTTTAAAGTACTTACTAGGGAAGAAGGAAGAGAGCTGAGACATCACAGGAAGAGGAAGGAATATGTTGCAGGTACAAGCACTGAGATAAGCATAGGTAGCATATATGAAGAGACATTACCCATTCTCCTAGCAGTATACATGCCTGCTACAGACATTTCTGAAGCTTCTTAATCCTAAATCCACACAACTGCTCCATTTTGAAAATTTCAGGTCTCCAGATGCAGCCCTAATCAGAATGCTGCCCTTCAGCAGGAAGGATAATATAGCTCCATGTTTACGTGTTCTAGTTCTCACAGAGAAAACATTCAACTGAATTCGTTCAAGGATCTGCCCTTTCTGCAGTACAGTTTTGCCGTCAGAGGAAATCAAAGCCAAAACAGAGCAACATAATTTAGGTCAGAAAGATTATTTTGAACATGCAGAAGTATTTTTCAAATACTTGATAGAAATAATAGTTTAAAGACAACTAAGAGAGATCAGCTACTCCACCTACCCTTTCTGAGACTAGATGAAGTATATCTGGACTATTTGTGACAGACATTTTTCTAAGGTGTTTTTAAACCTCTCCAGTGACATGGATTAAAGACCTGTTTAGGCAGCTGATGAAGAAATCAACTGTGCTTGTAGTCTGCAGGTTTGTTTTTTTTTTCTCAGCATCTATCCTAAACCTGCTTTGATGAAAATATTGTTGGTGGATTTTATAGGCCAGAAACTTGAGGACAACACCTGAGTAACACTCCAAAAGGGCAAAAGGAAGCTGTGACATGGCATTCAGAGACCTCTGATTTCCTTCCAATGGATGGGTTCCCAGAGCAAGCTATTCTAATAACAGCCTCAACTGAGTAATGGGCTATATGGCAGGAGTCATGTAACCCTTGCTCTTATCTATTTAGTAATAATTGAAACCTAAATTTTAAAGCTTATTCCTGCATCTGCAGTTACTTTCACTTCCAGACAAAATTAAGCATCTCAGTCTTAATGTAAATCTAGCAGACACTGAAAACAATTAATTTAAAAACAAATAATCTTCCCTCCCTCCCTCTCTCGTAACAGTTAAGTACTTCTTATTATAGGCTGTCCTCATTCCTCTCTGTCCTGGACTAAAAAACCCAAGCTGTTCCAAAATTTCCTATGAGGCCATATTTTCCAAACTTTTTTCACCCCCTGCATTCCCTGGAACCTTTTTGGTTTTTATTATATTTTAAATGTGGTATCCTACACCAGGCACATTACCTTCATCTAAGACATTATCAGGACAGAATCTATTAGAATATTTATATTCAGGCTTTCCAAATCTCTTGATGATGTATCTCTGAACTATCTCTGAAGTGAATTTGATACTTTTTTTTTTTTCTTTTGAAATATTTTCTAAATTTTAATGAACAATCTCTTTTCAGAGCTAAGTCGTTCAGGTGTGGAGATCTACATTTTCTACTCTTGTATCCATTTAGCAGGACAACATTTTGCAAAGCAAAATACAGTTTTGCAGACAGAGAACACTGAAATACTTCAGGATAGGATCTTACTGTCCATAGGAAAAAAAAATGAGTCAGAGAGAAGCCAAATCACGATGTCTTCCTATGGTGACCACCTAAAATGAGCACAGCTCCATTCAGAGTTCAGATCCTAAAATAAAAGTTAATAAACCTCCAGCCTCCATGGAGATTTTACCCACTGTCTTATAATAGGCTTAGATACAGCAATGCAACTTCCATTACAAGTAAGTTCATATCTCCGATGTCCTCAAGCAAAGTAAAAATATAGTTTGATTAAATATTTCCTTGGTAGTAATAACCAGTATCAGTCTTTAAAGAACAGTCCTATTAAAAAACAAACAAACAAACAAAAAAACCTTTTGATCCTTTTGATTTTTCTTACTGTACGAAAGTGAAAAAGAGATAAGGAAGGACACAACAACATTTAAAGGAACTCTTTTCAAGTCAAATTTAAGATGCTTTGGGGATTTTCATGCACACATAAGGCTGTAAATTGATATGGAGTTCTGCCAGAAAGCAAAGTATTTTGTATTTCCATTTGTTCATTCTGCTAAAGGAGTACAGCAAGCCAATTCATGCCAAGTCTGATTTATACTTTCTAAATTGATTTTAAGAAAAGAAAAAAAAAAAAAAAAAAAAAAAGAGGGAAATGTCTCATTTAACTCTGTTAAGAGTATACAAATTTACAATTGTTTGTAGTTAATAAATTTCAGTTATTTATGATGACAAGAAAACAACAGGCAGGCAAAAGAGAAAAGCATTTACTTAATTACTTAAACTAATAAATGTGAAATTATTTATTTTCAGTAAAGGAAACTGAATGTTCAACTACTGAAAAATAGAGATAAAAGGCACAGTTTGCTGCCCTTAGCAGTTGTTGACTGTAACAAGTGGAAGACTGGATCTAGTGATTCCTCACAGAAGCCCCTTAATTTGTAAAGCTTAGCAATGGACATCTGCTGCTGAAATAAGTTGTCTGCACAGATTTATATTTCAGATAAAGGTTGCTGAGAAGGCTTTGTTGTTTTTCCAGAAACCTAACGAGTATTATAGAATGTACAATATTTTTTCCTAATCTCAGTGTAAAACACTCCTTCCCAAAAAATTAAGGAAAATATCAGGGCATTCTACTCTGCAAGGTATTTGCAAAGACAGAGAATGTAAACGTATTGTTTTATTCCTGTCTTTCACAACGAGGCTCACTGTATTACTCTGTTTTCAGAAAAAATGTCCTTTAAAATTTCAAATTAGAAAAGAGATTAAAAAACTTTAATATGCCAACATTTTTTACAGAAATTGTCCTTAGAAATTATATTGAAAGAAACAAAGCTTAAACTGAAATGTACTTGCTTGCCATATGTGCCTTTCCATCCAAAGCTTGAAAAAACAATCAAAATTCAGTCTCATTATTCCCTAGTAATGCAATGTCTAATCAAAATTAGGATCCCTCTTCTTGAATATAAAAGTAGAACATTTAGTGACATTATGCACAGTTTATCTATCATTAACAGCCTTAACAAAAAAAAGGCCAACTGTTACCTACTAATAACCATCTATCTTTGCTGGCCAGAAGACAAAGACATGCAGGCTTTAGTTAAGCATCCAGAAAGTATGCCAACTTTTACAACTTTGATATTCGAACTTGGCTGAAAAGTGTCATAGTGCTAATAATCATGAAGGGTCTTGGTACTTCCTGGGCTTATTTTACCTGAAAAATGACTGTATGCTCCCCAGATGAGACAGGCAGCAACATCAAACATCTGGATGTGGAAGCAAGCCACAACAGGGGAGAAGGAATAGGAAGTAGAAACCCATCATAAGCAAACCAATGGCTACATAGTTCATAACTATCTCCAGTAAAAGCTTCAGTTACCGTTTCTAATTACTGAGAGATTCCCCAGATTTTAGGGCTATTTACACTACACATTTGACTTTCTGCATAAAACTACCAAGCTCATTTCAAGACACAACAAACAAGAAGAGAAGAAAAAGAAAATTATTAATGTTTGGAAATGTAGTCTACTGGGAGGAAATAAATCAATTATTTCACAGTACTCAAACTGGGATTAATGCATTCATATACTACATAATTGCAGAGAATCACTCAAAGTATTTTTGAAATTTGTACTTCCACAGTATTTGAATTTTTAAAAAGGACCTGACATCTTATCTGCTGTCTTGTTCTGCAATCAATGTTTTATTTTGCCAGCAGAATTATTTAGAAAAATAAATAAATAAATAAATGAAATTTGATTTCTAGTGTATCTCAAGATCATTTCATGTATTTAAGCTCTTCCCACCCATCAAAATTACATAGTACTCAAAAACAAACAAAACCCACCAATATCAAAGCAGAGGTGCAGAAATGAAGAGGAGAATGCTCTGTGGAATTTACTATATATGTGTATACTGTACATGTTGGGATACTCACTTCATTCATCCATCAGTACCCTAGATTCTTTGAGAACAAGTTCTAAGGAAAGCCCAAGAATTACATTAATGGGGTTATATTCTCAAGGCAACACTAGCAGAGAAATACCTTAAAGATCCACATTAATTATTCCAAACAATAATTCTGTATGGTAAAATGAATAGAGAACCAACACAAATGAAGGCAAGTGTACGAATTGAGTGTACCATCTGAATTCAGATTTGCTGTTAAGTCAAGGACAAGAGTCAGGATTTTATCACTTGCTCCAAATCATTTTTTAGAGGAGCCTACCTGTCCTCATGCATTACCTACAAATCCTGTTTCCTAAGTCTTGACTCCTAATCTAAGTCTGTCAGTTACTAGGCTGTGCAAATATACATTCCAATGAAAATATTAGACTATATACCAATATTAAATTTATGAATACACAGATAATATTCAAAATGAACAAAAAACTCTGGAAAAACATAAACTAGTGGTTTTTCACCAAAGCATGCAAAGCATTTTGAGGGATTTACTAAACACTACTGCTGAATTACTTCTGTGGCTCACAATGTGGAGTAAAGATTAACTAAACCACTGTCTTGCCTGACAAGGAAAACATGTATTTTAGAACGCTTCAAAAATTTGGTTGATATGTCATTATGAGGACATATTCATTTTCCCTTAGGCCTTAATGCTAAAATGCAGTTTCATAGATGGTGTCATAAATTTTACAGACCCTGTATGACAGTGACATTTGCTTGTATGTTTTTAATAATATAGTAATACCGAAGCAATACATATGACAAAAAAGAAAAAAGAAAAAAAAAAAAAAAAAAAAAAAAACAAGCTGTACGGAGATTTAAAATAGATATATTTAACTCTATGCTGTTGTAACAATAACTTACTTAACTATTTGAGAAACTTTTAAAATACCTGCCATTCCTAGAAATATAAGTACTTCACTACTTTGAATTAAATTATTGGAAGTTATTTTTTCAAAGCACATGCTGGATCTGGATCAAAGAGAGATATGCATAAGAACTTCATTCTAATTCACTTCAAGAAATCCTCGTGTTTCAAAGTAGCATTTATAATGATTACTAACACACATAAAAGAAGGGCAATGAAGGTTTTTGTTTGTTTGTTTGTTTTTAATATAAGGCAGTTAGTTCCACATACAATGCACACATTTTCCTCCGTGACAGTATAAAACGATCTTGTATACTCAGATAACACTTGTATACCTAGATAACGCAAAGTCTCAGTTACTGGAAAACTCATATATTCACCAATTTTTCTTTCAAATTGCCATTCTACAGAGGCTGATTCAAACAGGAAAGATTAAAAAACTGAAGTGTGACCAGCCTCAGAAAGACAGACTTGTATTTTAAATGTAATATGAGATTTTAGGTCTTTCCTTTCTTCAAGGCACTGTTTGAAATAGCTTAAACAGCAGGGTTTTCGGGGTCACTTTCCTGTGGCCAGAGTAGAAGCATTCAAAATAACATGCCATTTTTAATGAATTAGTCCTGAAAGAAGATATGGTAAAGATTTCATCAATCTTATGGATGGGGAAACAGAAAGGAGAACCTAAATCTTCAAAATTCAAGGTCACTCAAAATACCTGAAAGGTTTTAGCCTCTTGTTTGGGGATATATAACATGGAATAATTTAATTTCTGGTTATAACATTTTTTTTTTTCTTAAATGATACTAAAATTAGAACAATGAGGGTGGTAGGTAAGAACAATTGCAAATATTTATCTCCTCTAGGATTTGGAGACAAGAACATTGAACCTGTACAGGGACTGTCTAGAAAAATAATCAGTTCTGAAAAGTTAAATACTGGAAAGGGAAAGGATCCTGGTTTTACATGGGACAAACAGTTTGCAGGTATAAAATATAATATTCTATGTTTGAATAATAAGGATCTTTGGTAAAAGCATATAAAAATCAAACTATTGGTGAATAAAAGAGGATTAGTCTGTCTTTTCTTCAGATTATCTAATACCTCTTATATCTGATTACAAAAGCCTGTTGAAATATATTTTTATATATCAGTGGATCTTTAAATTTAAATAATATATACATAAAGTAACTCTTAGGCATGATCTGCATTTTCAGCAGGCATCAGTAGTATTACTTTAAATGTTATTTCTTTTATTCTTGTAAGCCATATAATGATGTTTTTTTTCCTAAGATATCTCTTACCTGATAAATTCTTTCTATTGGTCTCACAACATTACTCTGTGGCAAAGACCAGGGAGTAATCTAACCGTTACTGTTCCCTTTTGCTATGGCACTGTGTACTATGGAATTTAATGCTATGGCACCATCTACCATGGAATTTAATGCACCTGCCATGCATTTGAAGGATGGCTTCCCCAGAACCTTGTGTGTCACATACCTGTAGAAAGACAAGATGCTATATAAAAGTATGAATCTAAGTACTTTCCATTTTCTTCTCATCTTTTACTGCTTGGTAGCAGAAAATAATGGCAATGAGAAAACATTTACCCATGTTTAATCATTTTGAAAAGTAACGGTAAGTCTATTATTTTGAAAGGACTACATACAAGTTATAACTATATCAACATGGTAAAGAATGGCAGAATCTGACCCTTTGGGGTCTGCGAAGATTCTGAGAGTGGCTGATCTTTAGGCCATCTGTATAAGGAATGCTTAATGCACAGAAGGAAAACAAAAATGTCTACCAAGAAGCTTGCAATAATGAAGGAAAACAGGATTCCCTATGCACTGATTTTTCCCTTGTGTCAAAGCAGGAATTATTGCAGTCTTCAGAACAGCTTCATCAGAAAACAGTATGTCAGGGTAGATTCACAGAGACATGGCAATACTTGAATGCACCTCCCAATCACTCACTGGTCTTTGATAAAAAAATGACTGTAAAGATGCCTTTAAGAACAACACAGATTTCTTTTCTGTTTAGAATTACTCTGAATAGAAGAAATCTTCAGGTTACTGGAGAATTTCCATTTCTCTCTAATTTAGCTACACTGCCCTTCCCTTGGTACAGTGTTCCAGTTATATATGCACAGCAATGAGGGCTAGCTTCTTTTCAGACACCACAACACTTTATTGGTAAAGTTTTATTGTTCTTACAATGAGCAAACTCTACAATTTTTAGATCATGTTTAGAATAATAATTTAAAAAATTCCACCATCTTTAATTCTCCTTAATATTGTAACATGGGCAGTTTGAAGAAACTGATCGTTATAATGTAAGCTATGTATAGGTGGAATGATAACAGAGAACACTAAGACAAACAAATTTAAGCATAAATGTGTTTTCACTGCAAAAAAAACATGCTGTCAGTACTATTGTCTCTGTCTCCTGCAAATAAACTGACCTCTGTAAAAACAGTAATAAATATGCTGCTACCACAAATATATTAAAGCCTTATCTCCTTCTTTCACACTTTCTATAGAAACTTGCATTCATTTAAGCAAAAACTCAAAATCTCAGTTGAAAGAGGCAGGAGGAAATTTCAAAAACAAATTACTTTTTTTTTCTTTGCCCCAGTAAGGAACTGCATTCTCACAGTGAACTGTCATTTAATAGTTACAGATGGTGAAACAGCAACAGTAACACTCAACTCCTCTGTAGTAACAGTCTGTAGTCTCACTGATATTAGGAATTTTTGCCTATATTAAAAGGGTTGATTCTTCCTGCTTCCAGTGAGCCACAGAATAGATTTGCATACAAAGTCTGTTATAATTGATCCCTTTCTACAAAAATAGAATCAACCAAAAACTACAAAGAAAACAGGAGTGAAGACTTCGTAATAAGAGTTGGACTGAGTTGGATGCCCGCCACGGGCAGGCATAACTCAGGTTTCCATTTTATAGTAATGCTCTATTTTCTCTTTTCCTGCTTTAAACTCTTGCAGTTATCTGCAATAAACAACATTCTGGCACAGCTTTATTTTTAGTCAAATCCCTTCCAGGAACAAAGTGATTTTACATGGACTGCGTATCCCACACTGATGCTTTCTGTAATCCACTCCTCAGACCAAATAGTGACGAGGAATACTCACTTGACACAAATTAAAATGAGATGTTCTGACCAAAATGTGAACCTTTATACAGGTATTTGAGAACATTATCCATAATCCTACTTTAGTCTCCCAAGCCTGACAAATAAATACTTCAAATTTTGTCCCTTTACCACTCCTCAAATTTCTGCCTCCAGATCCATTTTGCCTAACAGGAACACTGTCAACTTTATTAAAAAACCTAAAATTTGAAGTAGATGCTGGAAACTTTGAAAATTTTGTAACAGAAAAAAATACAAATTTCATGGTACATTTACAATATTAATTTAAAGAGGACAAGATTAACGCATGTACTTCTTTCTCTCTGAATGGCTGTGACTGACTGATAGTTTCATGCAAAATAGTTTTTGCACTATTTGGTCCAAAGCATGCAAACAGACTAGGGAGAAGGAAAAAAATTTCAAAGTATATTCTTTCAAAATGCTTCATATCCCCCAAAAATCTCTAGTTCAGTTACTAAACGTTACAGAAAGAAAAGTAAAAAGCCAGATTAGAGGTTTCTGAATTGCCTTGCATATGCTTGCTCTTTCAGGATAGTATTCAGCATATCTTACTGCATTTTAAATCATATTTTAAACATGAAAAGAGTGGAAAATGGGTCTTGCTTCATGTTGTAGCTACCCAATTTTCTATAAAATGGCTTGGTTTCTGGTATAATAAGCCATAAGGCTTCTCTAACTTAATTCCTACTTCAGATTCAGTAACTACTGGTATCTAGAGAAAACTGTTCAGAAGAGCATCCTGATATTAACTGAGCAATGTCCAACAATTAAAAATCAGGTATTTTAAATTTTAAATCTGTACGTTTAATCTCTAATCTGTAGCTGCCAAACTTCATTTTATAGTCTTTAGGTACTTTTATACTCTTAGCTGGTAAACTGAAGAGCTTTGCTATCTAATTTATATTCTCTGATAAAATCACACCTCTGATAATCTAGGCAAACTGGTCACCTAATATAATTTGTTACAGAACAGTATTTTTAAACCTGAAGATTGTATAGAATCTTTACACATCAGATAGTCATTTACATCTCCTTTTCCTCAACATAATATATTCCAATTAATGATGATATAGAATCATGTCTTTTAAAAATATTTCACTGATAATGGTTATTATTTCTATTAAATTAAACTCCCTTGCTGACAGAGAGTTTAGATGAATCGATAAATTCATTTAATAAAGGATCAAGATCTTAGGGAGAGGAGTCAGTAAGAGTTCTTTAAGAATTGAACATATATGTCATGAAGTTGACTCTGCATCTTTCCATCCTCCTTTTTTCTTGTAAGATTATATTTCTACATTAAGTTCCTGCTAACTAACATAAGAAGTGAAGAACATATACTGCTTTGAAAATAACTAACAAAAAATAAAAAAACAAAAAAAATTTACCTGCAACGACTGGGGATTTTCTGTCATCCAAAAGTTGAATAGCTGTACTGGCTGTCACTACATTGCTTTTGTTTGCTGTTTCTGCAAGATGTATTAAGAAAAAAAAAAAAAAAAAGAAGAAGTAAGATACTGCAGAATAAAGAAATTCAGTTTTCTACCCTCACCCCCTGGTTTGAAATAATTGAGTGAATAATGTGCTCACGAAATGTGTTAATAAGACAGCAAACCTCATAGTGTATGTATGCATACAATATACAGGCACTAGCATTTCAAAATTCCCCATCCCAACAAGCTTAAAACACTGACATGGGTAATCAAACTCTTGCCTTCTCTGCAAATTGGCAACAAAGGTGACAACTGGCAGGGCTTCTCCGTGATGTTGACACTTGTTCTGTTGGACTTGCTTACAATACTAGACTGTAAGTTGAACCTATGCAAATATTCAACAATAATTGTTACACGGCATCTTGGGTGTTCACTTTGAACCCTACAGAAGATGAACCTGGTCAAGGGACCAGTAAAGAAGCTGCAAATTTCAATGTATGTATTAACACTTCAGATTAACTACAGAGCCTACTCCATATTGACATACTTAGTATCTTTTCAGTATCATAAATGGCTCAGAATGTAGAGTGTGACAAAATTATAGACCTGTACTAAATGGGATTGAATAGACAAAGCTCCCAGGTATTTGCTCAGCAGCTCTTCTGTACCAGAGTGGAAAATGATCAGCATTAAAAATGTTCTCCTTGTCTTCAGCTGTCAGGAAATCTCTTGAGAAAGAAGAGAGAAAGAAAATACTTGTTTGTGGCATGCCGCACAGTAGTATCTATCTTCGAAAGACAAGAAAAAACAAAACTCATTCTTTCAGAAAAGAAAACGGTTTGGGACATTTTTCTAATACCATTCATACAACAAAAGGTTAACTTTAGCCCCTAACAATTATTTGAGGTAGACTTGCAATTGCTTTTGTATTGAAGGATGGAAAAAATAGTAAACTAAGTACCACTAAATACATTTGTACAGATATAAAAATGTTTAATCTAAATTCTCTCTCAGAAGAATGCAATAACAGTGAATTGTGCAATGTGAAAAAGGCAATGAAGGTTTGGTAATTTGCTGCCAGTGACCTACGTTTTTAAGAAAAAAAAGTAATTAATATCCTAATTTACAAAGAATATATAAGGGAGGTAGTGGACAACTACATACTTCATTCTTCAATGATCTCATGGAATACTGACAAAAGAAAGTTCCTATGGGGAAAAACAGCAAGTACAGTCTCAATGCCATTGTTCTAGTTTACTGTCTAGAGGTAAGAAATTGTAGTACTACTGATCTTACCTGTCAGGCTACTCACACTGAAACAATATTTTCTGGTCATATAAACATCATACAATTTTATATTAAATAAACAATTTATCATAAACATCAAGTACAAATTTCTTTTACACGCATAATGCATATAGATTTGCCTGACAGTATCAAGCTGCTGCCTGGAAAAGGCATTATTTATCAGACCTGATTTTATAGCTCTCTGTTCTAAGAAACCTCTACCTTCACCGCATCAGATCTTCAAAGAAGCAAGAAAGGAAAGTTTTGAATTATGAGATCTCTTGATTATCCTTCCTGTGGATCCTAGTCCACATCTGTCACTTAGATTTCAAAAGAAAAAAAAAAATTTGCAAAACAGTAACATAAAAACCCTGAAATATTTGTTTTTAAATGAAATATTTTAAAAAATGAAAAAACCCTTGGCATCTGCAGATGTAGCATATCCTGAACTCTCCTCTGAATCTCCTCTGAAGAATAAAGATGTGAAGCTAACTCCAGAAAATGGAGGGAAAAGTAAATGTATAGGATACAGGTATACAATAGCTCATCGTTCCCGTTGAAGAAAGAATTTAAAGGATCCTATTCAATCCTTCTAATTTGTTCTATGTATTTCAGCGCACCAGAGCAAAACCCTGAAAGAGACAGTAGATATGCTTCCTAAAATAAACATTTTTTTACACATTGTCGCCAAGCATAGCTTTGTTACTTACTGATTAGTAAGCTGTTCTGGACCCACAAACAGGTTGATACGAGATAGTCCAGTCCGTGTTCCAAGGAAGGCAACTTCCACTCCCTTGTCAGAATTTCTGAAATAAAACAGAACACAAACAAAGATAATGTTTCCAGGCAGTAAACAGATAAAGCTATGTTACCAGTCATAGAAGATACAAGTGTACACATTTTTTAGAAAGATAGTTTTAAAATGTTTTTTTTTTGTTTGTTTGTTTGTTTTACTTTGAAGTCAAATGTGCTTTGGCAAACATATAATGTGGAAATGCTATTTAGACCAAGAACAACTGAAAAGTAAAAGAAGGTAAATTTGGCAAGATCTGGGGGATGGGATGACACAGAAGCCAGAATAAAAAAGGGTCAGCATAGGTACATAACAACCATTTGGTAGCCACTGGCACCAAGTGACTGAAGATGAGCATGAAATCCAGACAGTTCCCTTTCTATTCAACATCTCTATGGTACATCTACACTTCAAGTTATAGGTGTGTGATTTGCCTCTAGACCTTAGGAAAAAATGTGGCAGGTAGGTCAGGCTGAACCCTGTTGCTGCATTACTAGCTACAGTACCAAGGTAGCTGCTTTAAAGAAACTACTTGTTAGGGCAACAAGAGCTTCAGATATATTATCACAAAGTGTCCTGTCTAATTAGCATAAATCAGAATATGAAAGGGGATCAAATGTCTCCAGAGCTGTCTTCCTTGTGTTTACTGGATCTGTTGTTATTTCACTGTGTAGGAGGATTCCTAGAAACTTTATGCTTCTATATAAATTGATTGGTGCCTAGAGTATATGAGCATGCAAAAATTTTCTATCTTTATCTTCTGAGACGACACTGGATAATCCTTAGCTCTATGAAATAGATCTCACTGCATCTGATTTTACTCATTCAGTATGTTTTTTAGACAGTATCATTTTTCATGTAACTTTAAACATATATATAGATTTTGTTAAATTTGAATATAATCAGGATAACTCCCAGAATTGCCTTTCAGCAACAGTATCTCATGCAAACTACTAATCTTAACATGTTTTCTCTAATGAATATAACATCTTGTTGCTTAACATTTAGCTCTGGAAAACTAAAAAAAAAAATAAAAAAAAATAAAAAAGAGGATTACAGAAATGATTTGTTTTACCAGGGCATTTTTTTCTGTATATAATTTGTTTCAAGATAAATTACCAGTTCCATAAACAATTTTTGTAAATTATACATTAAATTCCTCAATTATTCTAAACAGTTTGTTAGAAAGTCACAACTGTGTGCTGTGGTTAGTATACAATTACATTAGTTTTACTGTAAAATTTGAGTAACCTTAAAACTAATCATCATGATGTACATACTATAAAATAAACACGTAATACTGAATCAAAATTAGTGCTAGTTAGAGTGAAATGGTTAATATGTTTTTTTCATGCATTTTAATGCAGTTGAAAAATTAAAACTCTTAGGCAAATAATCAGAAAGGGACTAGAAAACTGATGCAAACAAATCTTGCTAATCTGACAAAGCATCAGAATTTGTAAGGTATTTCATCAGTTCTTTAATATAACTATTAAAAAGATACCCATAATTATAATGACTGATACAAAGTTTACTTACTCCGATTTATTTAATGCTAGACTGGTCCAATAAGCTTCAATTGGTGCACTCACCACTGCATCAAACAGAACTTCCTGGATCAATTCTTTGTCACCTATTACATTATAGTAAAATCAGTAAACATGTGCATAGAGATCTTTTTTTGTTGTTGTTGTTTGTTTGTTTTTACTGGTTAGGTAACTAGATTTTTGTTTTTATGCTAAACTCTATTTTGTCTGTGATGTACATTCAAACCTTTTGCAGTATTAAGCATTTACTATATTACATGGTGTTTCATTACAATGTAGTTTATATATATATATAGTTTCATTACAAACAACAATTTTTGGCTAGAAAACACAAAAATGCATTTTCCAATTCATGTAACCCATTCCCGTATATATCTCATGCTCGCATTTGCACACAAAATTAGGCTAAAACAATTATGCCTACTGAGTCACACTAGCTCTGTTTCTGCAAACATCTTGGAGAAAATATACACTTATCCATGTGCTTTTTTCATTCAGCTTTTCAGTTCAGAAATGCTAATTTTATACATATTCTCCCTAAAACACTCAGGAAATAGCTGGTATATTCTTCAGAAGAGTCAATCAAGGCTTGATTCAGACCAATCCTGTTTAATTTATGAAACCAGATGGAATGATAACATTGCATAACTACACCATCTGAGCAGAACCTTGAATATTTGGTTCAGGCATATTGTTTACCATAAAAATCAGAAAGCATTGATAGTTTTATTGATACTTGGGAAAAAAGTTCAAAAGCAAACGAAATAGCGAAGTGATATTAGCCATGCAAGCCAATCTCAAGTTATCAATAGATAATTACATAGCTTTCTATTTTGTAGAAGGTGCAGTATAACAGTTTTTAGCTACGATAATGTCTACTACATATATATTTAACAAAATACTTGCATTGGAGCAATGGCTCTTTTCCTGTGAGGTATCTTTTAATCGCTTCTAACTGAGTCATTTGACGGTGTTCAGGATGCAAGTCAGTGTTGCAATAGGACCTGAGAACATGTTGTCAAAACATTAAAATGTTAGTATTTATAAGCATGATCTTTGTCTTTGAACATAAAGAATTGGTTTTAGAACCAATTCAGAACCTTTGTCTTTGAACATAAAGAATTGGTTTTCAAACAATATGAAACCAAGAAGAGTAACAGACACAAATTTCATGCTTTGTTTAAGGCTTACCATTCATCTGCTAAAGATACATCAGGGTGTTCTAAATCATGTAAACCTGTAACAGGAATAATAATGGTTTATTTAGGGAGCAGTCTGTGTAACAGATGGTTATTAACATACACTCCATAACATAAACCCTTCCCTTCTTGGAAAGTGCATTATTACCACAATATAATAAATCACAGTAAACTATGTTCAAATACACTTGAGGGTCTAACAAACTGGCAAAAACCAACTAAATCAGATCTAAAAATGAAAAGGAAGGAAAAGTTTTGGGGTTTTTATTCCTGATATTTTTAACTCATACAAATTGCTCACATGATATATTCGAAGTTTAGAAGAAAACCTGAGCAAAGAGAAATGCACAATGGTTAAAACCCCTCTTATTCATACTCCCTTGTTCTATGTGGCTAGTAAAGTTCTTTATGCTAAACCATATATTTCTCTTTTCACAGAAGAGTGTTTTTCTGTGAAAAGAGAAATATATGGTTTAGCATAAATTATTTATTTCTGTCTTTTAAAAAATATTTCATTAAAAAACAACTCCTCCCAAAAACGAAGCACACAACCCATGAACACAAACTGCAATTTACTGGATTGTTCAGAATAGGTTTATTGTTCTAACAATAATTCAGAATAGGTTTATTGTTCTAACACGTCATGCAGATGCTTGTAAATAAGAACTATATCATTAGTTATATAGCACAATAAAAATGTACTTTGACAATTTTCAAAACTTTTAAAGCATGTATCAATAGACAATAAGCAAACAGGGTTCAGAAGGCAGGCTCTGGATTTAACCCCCAGAGTACATACTATGTAAAGACAGACCTATGATGGTTAAGGAAAACAGGAAATTCAAAACTAGAACCACAATTATCATCCTTAGAGAGGACAATAATGTGTCAGTGACAAAGGAACAGTGAAGGAAACAGTGGGAGAAAAGGTTATGGCTACATCAACTTCTTTGGTGATGCATCCAGGAGGAAATATCAGACTGGCTGGTAGAAATATATGGATAGATTAAAGAAAATAGATAGGAGATGTTGGGAACAATTTGGAGAGTAAGATCCAAGAATTCTGCTGTCCTCTTGTTCTACCTAGACATTTATTTTTTATTCAACTGCTTCATAAAATATAAAGCATTTATTTTTACATTTCTGCCATGAATAGAAATGTATTTTTGTTGCAAGCATACAGCTGAAGAATGAAGACCTAAAAAAATAAAATCATCAATGAAACAAGAAAGAGAATTGGAAACAGAGACCAACACAGACTTAACCATAATATCAGAAAATATTCCTCTCTTGAACAACTTTTTCTCTGCAATTCCTAAAACTTCATCACCTCACAGCGCACAGCTCCTCCACTGCCTACATACACCATGCACAGACTGAAGCCAGCTAGCAGCTCCTGCAGACCCCTTTTGCCTAATCACCTTTGCAAAATGCCTCTGTTCTCTCTTCATCTTCAGGACCCTTAGATTTCGGTCTTGTTGCCAAACAACTTTATTACCATCCAACAGTTGACTCCTCCACACGTTTTATTTGCAGACTTACACCCTCACCCAAAAAACAAAAACAAACAAACCAAAAAAACATAAAGCAAGAAGGGTCTTTCCCCTCATTACTTTTGCTATGATGAGGTAGTTTTAGCTCTGAAATGTTTAAAAATGTGTAGCGTGTGAGCAAAAAAGCCACAGCTATTACAGTGCTCTCAGTGATTACTTCATTCAGAAAATATCACAAATAATTAACATTAGACTATAAGTGGTTTTCTGGAACATTGAGAGAGGAGGACAGAAGATGATGCTTATCTAAAGAAAACTCGCAGTCAGACTATCCTTACTATAAATGAGGAAAAAATCCCATGAAGTAGAAGATCTAAAAAATAAAATAAAATCAAATTTTCTTATGGAATCTGCAGAGAAACATACAAGCTTTAGCTGTACCACATCAACAATTAAACTACTGTGTCAGGAATGTGACGAGGTAGAGAGTATCTTACCTTCTTCTACAGTTACATTCCCTCTGAAGAAGTATTTTCCATGTCCTCTAGAGAGAGCCACACCTAAACTGTGCAGAGAAATAAAGCAGACCTTGAAATCTGTGACACAATAAAAGACATTCAGAGATATTTTCATTTCTAACACTTCTAGCCAGTGTACTCCAATTAACTTCAAAACTGTTTCCAAGTCCTCACTGATCATATTTATTGTTCAACTAGCTGTTTCAGTGCTGATTCAGTTTTGATGTTCCTGCAACAATTGGCTGTATTTATGTTTGTTTAGAGGTGCAGTAAATCATTATTCTCCAGCAAACTAATAAATGAGCCCCTCTAAGCTCACTGCTGTTCACCCAGCATGACATTTCTTCATCTGAGCCTCAAATATGCCCACGGTCTTACAACGATGACAATTTTTTGTAAATCAGACTGAGATGTTGAGAAACTACATAAATGTGAGAATCAATGGAGCTACTGAGAGGAAAAGATTTCATATGCAGCAACAGCAGCATGATTCCTCTCAGACCTTTCCTGCTACTCATATTTTTTCTAGTTCAACATTTTTGCATTGACTTTAGCTTCATAAACTTCCACAGTTAAGTGCCTTATTTTGCATTGGTTTTCAGTCTACCATTTAGACTATTCAAATTTAATGAACTGGCTGAGGGATCCATGACTCTTCCTATTGAATACATACACAGAATACCTTTTGGCATTCATTCATCCAAGGTTAGTAACCTGCCAGTAATCAGTATGACTGAAAATACATGGGCTGATACTTTAAGTACACATAGAGGCACCAAGTCCAAGAGCACACATGCTGCAATCAAAAGCTCAATCTGGAAAACGACTGAAAGTAAACATCTTTGACATTACAGTGTATATTTTCATAATTGCTGCCCCTGCTGTCTTCCTGAAGCTATACACTCATCCCATCTAAACTACATACAGACCATGCTGAAAAAGGCAGTTTTCCTATATTTCTGTCCTAAGGATCAGAAGTCACACTGCATGCACACATGTAGCCCAACATCTGTTTCCTAAATGGGGTAAGAATGACATTGCCACAAAAATTACACTGAGTTTTACCACCCATGTGTGGATTTTAACAAGAATAAACACATGCATCAGAGATGAGAGAAATGTGCCTATATTTTCTCTATGTGAAAATAAAGCTCAAGTTTTGTGAAGAGGTTCCATTGAAGAAAATTTCAGTTGAGTATTACAACAACCTTATGCTTTAAGCATAAGGTACAGTTAATATAATTTTATTAATGGATTATTTCTAACTCAAATATAAGCATTTGTAAATGCTTATATTTGTAAATATATAAATATATTTATATAATAATATAATATATTTTGTATATTTATATAATAATATAATATATTTTGTAAAAAGACTTCTTGTCTTTTTTGGTTTTGCTAAAATGCATGCCAAAATAACATGGCTGACTTGCTCAGTTTTAGCTACACAAATACACTCTAGGTAGTTCAGAGAAAGAAAATATCCAAACCTCAAATTGGAAATGAAATACTATCTCATTTTACATTACATTTTGTTGTGGAAAAAATCAAAATGGGGCTCAATATGTAATTACTTAAATGGATTATAGTATTTATAGCTCTCTAAGTACTTGCAAAAGCCTTTCGTTCAATGTAAACTTCAACTGAATATTTTTTTTAATGAAACGTAAGCCATGACAAACATGGCAAGTTTGTCTGTGTGAGCTTGCACAAACTTTCCATCCCTGGAAAAGCTGAAAGTAATGCTGGTAAGCTTCTTTTCCTAGCTATTTTCAGCATTGTCCAGGGATATTTTATTGTCACTTTTTGCTGATGAGTTTTTAATGAGTTCACAAGTTCTGTACAAATGCAAGTCCAATGAGTCTGATGAAATGGCAATTTATTACGGTCAGCTCTACCTGAATGGAGTACCCTTGATGTCTGTATAATAGTAGTCATTTGTCATCACCAATACCCGTTTCTAGATTCAGAACAAGAAAGTCAGAAGGGGAGGGGGAAAACAGTTAGTTTGCTATAAGAAATGTATAAAAGATTGTGTTTAGTCAGTGAAAAAATTACAAGCAACGTATACATTCAGTGAGTGAAAAAATATACCACAGTGAATCATATTTATGGTAATCAATCTTAAGACTTGTAAAAAAATGAAAAGAAACTGCTTGCTTTATGCTCAGTTGGAAAAGTATTTATACCCCTTTGTCCACTGTCTTTTTGACTTCCATGGAGAACTTCCCTGTTTTCCGATTCACCATTGCATTTCGGAGCTGAAATGAAGAAAATGTGTGTCAAATCCTTTATCTGCATTTTCTGTAATTCTTTGAGCTTCTTGTTACATTCATTTGGCATAAGTAGTACTGTCTCTTCAGTTTTCATAGTTCTGCTGCATACTGAACAAACCCCTTAAAGATTTCATGATAGTCTGTAAAGGCCAAGACTCCTGCCACAAAACTTTAGGAAAGTTGCTGAGGTATATAAAGCAGGAGCTCTCAGCATCCTTCATAGCAAAATAACTCTTCATGTAGTAATCTGAATCTTATGTGGGAAAGACAGTGTAACTGACAACCCAACTGTTATACAGTTTCTACATAGGAAGGTTAAAGACTGGGTTCCCATCTGGATTTGGTGTCTCAAGTTAGACCAGGGCTCATTTTTTAAATACATCACAATCTTACATACAATAACAAAGCAAAAAAGAGAAAACCCCATTTACGTCACTATTCATTCTGCTTCAGCTTGATCCTCTAACATTGGGCTGCATCCCAAACTACCCTGAGAAACTACATCCTAACTGCATCAAAAATTAGAACCAGCAAAAGCATGACAGGCCATTTGATCGGTAACCTGTTACAATGGGAACATACAGCTACAGTGCTCTGTGATTCACTCTGGTGGTCCACTGGTGTCTGGGCACCCTTTGCAAGCACTCAATTTTATCTCTATAACAGGAGCCCTAAGGCAGTCACAGCTCTAAGAATTGGCCTGGACCTCTCCTTCTCTAAGGAGTACAAAAGTATTTTTAACACCCCCTCCAAATTATGTTTCATTACTATATAAACCAACCAACCAACCAAACAAACAAACAAAAGACACTTTTAAAGAGAGGAAACTGAAAGCTGCTAGGGAAAATAGAAAATAAAATTTAAAAGGTTTATACACAGTGATTTACCTCCCACTCTTCAGGTTAAATCTGTTTCTTTATGGATTGCCAGAAATGGTGCAGTCCCCTGTGATTCTGAAAAGGCTCCTTCCTAAACTGAGGCCTGAAAGGCTTATCCCTGGGCCCTTCAGTAACTTTATCTCAGCTTCTGCATGTGTTGAAGGCTCCCAGATCTGTGCTGCAAATCCCCTAGACATCAACTGTACAATGCCATTCCTTCGCACACCTGTTTGCTCCCTAAGAAAGCAGAACCTTCCTCCAAAAGGATGCCAGCTGGCACAGCCTCTCCTTTAGGGGAACATGCCATGATTGCCCTACACCGTGAGGTGCACTAGCAAGGAGCACAGTCTACCCTGCCACAGCTGGTCTGAACACGGGGGCTCTGGGCTGAAATTGAGATATGACAAGACCCGTTTTCTCAGAAATCCTCAGTGTTAGTATTTTGAATTTGTCCATCAATTATTTCAGGACTTTAGGGGAGAAATGAGAAAGTCACTGCTAAGCAGTTATACCATCAAGATATGGAAGTATTCTATTTGAATTCAGTTAGATTTAGGTGTGGTAGAAGCAACTTCTTTTGCTTGTATTTTTAATTAATGGCCCCGTACAGAAAGTTCAAGTTGATTGTTTCAGGATATCTTCAATTACAAAGTGAAATTGCTGTATTTGTGCGACTTCTTGTGGTTAGAAGCATCTATAAATCTTTCACAACAGTAATTATCATTACAATAGAAACCCTCCAGTACTGCTAATTAATTCATACTCCCTCCTCAGGGATATTGAAAATGTAGAAAAATGTAAATGAAACAAGCATTTTTGTCTCTCTTCTATTGCTTATCAATCCAAACAGAACTTATTCTTAAGAACAGCTTTCTTGAAGAATAAGTATCTCCTTTTCTTCTGAACCTCATGCCAGACTTAGCAATTCCATCAGATTTTAATAAAAATTTGTGAAGACAGTCATATCAATGCACACTGTAGGCTTTTTGAAGCAAAAAAAGAGTATGAAGCAAAAAGAGCATGCCCAAAATTGCCAGTGAAATATCTGGTTTTATTTTCATGACAAAGTTAAACATGGCTGACCTATCAAAAATTGCAAACTTTGCAGCTCTTTAAATTTAATTCTGGGGCATCTATGTTTGAATTAACAACCTTACTCTTCTGTCAGGGAGTGTAAGAGGATAATTTTTAACTGGAGGCATGTATAAAATAAAGCATATATTTTACTTTTTTTTTTTTTTTAACAATACATAATAGGCAATTCTGGAAATGTTTTCCCATTTTAAGTTTTGTGGTTTTGGACTTGCAGAGCTGGTCTTAATTAACCATCTACTTTCTAACATTTACAGAACAGTTCCATTTATCTTTAACATGGTTTTCATTTTTCTCCTATTGGTGCCTGCAGTTGTCTGAGACCCATTCCTCCCACAAGCCTCAGGCAAGTCATAGATTTACTAAAAGGGCCTCCAAACTCTCAGTAGTGTTTAAGATCAAGTCTGCATGTGGGATTTACAGTTTTACTTTTTTTTTTCTTTTTTTTTCTTTTTTTTTATTTTTTTTGCTTGCTGCGATTACATTTCTTGGCTTTGTAATCTGGTTTCTCAGCTCTTCTGCAGTTTCATCTTCCTTCTCAAATGCATAAAATAAGAACTGTCTTCAAGCCTCAAAATACTCATTCATGGTCTTTTTTTTTTTAAAAAAAACAACAACAACAACAACAAAAACTTTATTCAGCTAGAAATTATAGTAAAAGAATTTTAAGATGTGAGTTAATGAGAAAAAGGTTTCTATCCAAATTGAAACTTCTTGTCCTTCAGTAATGCATATTTCCAAACTTTACTGTAAGACGCTTTTTCCCCTATTAAAAAAAAAAAAAAAAAAAAAAAAGCACTAAAATAGCACTAAAGCTAGTGCTAAGCTTTCTATTCCTAATAAAATACAGTAGCAGCAACATGGCAGGTACTGTAACCTGGGAAATGAAGTGATGAATATATATCTGCACTAATTCTATTTCAAGGTGAAAAAAAATTCTAAGCTTAGTTCTGCCAGATTTTCCTTATTGAATCACTGGAGTAAAACTATTTCTTCACATCTTTAGAGTGATATGTATTGTTACTTTCAACTAAATGTTTTCCAATCAATTGCTAACAAGCCAGTTTCACTGCTATATGAGATCATTCTATATTCTTGGAAAATTTTGTAACCATTAAATTAACATGGTAAAAAGTGAGAAACTATCTTCAGCTTCCACGTAAGTGTTTCATGGGAGAAGAATATACCAGTAGCAATGTAATTTACTAAAAGCAGCCCTATGAATACATTAATTCTTTCCCTCTACAGTTGAATAAACAATGCTTTACTACTAAAGCTCAGAAAAAATCAAGAACATCAACTCCAAAGCCTTAGGTGAAACAGAGCCACTTGTAACTCTCAAGTCAATATTTCACAACATATAAAGTCTCCAAAACAATTTTTACCATTTTCACACAAAATTAACAGTATCAGGGAAGTGCCTATTTAAATGATTAACAAAAATAACACAAACTTTTTGGACACTTATTTGGATCTTCTCATCAGAAAAGTTGCATAAAAAAACAGATTTCAGTACAGTAACGTACAAAACCTCCTTCAAGTTCCAATCCCCTTCTAGATCTAATTCTAATAAGATTAGCAACTCTTTAGTGCCAAAAATCCTTTCTTTCAAAGACCCTTCTCTTTTTTTTTCTGCTTTTAGTATTTCTGACTATATGCCTCTTTGAAGGTCTTATTAACTTGGTATAACTATCTGACTTTTATAATACTTCACAAACAGGAAAAACTTGTAATGATACCAGGCTCACTTTGAAAAATACCTGAAAAAATATGATTTAACATCACTTTTTTTCCCTTATTTCAATATTTAAATAACCAAACATATATGGCATTCTTAAATTAAGACAACCTTCTGAACATTAATAACTTTTTCTACAATATTCAACTTGTTCATTTTTCATAAAACTGTGGGTTGCTAACCATCAAACAGCAAATGAGTATGCTATTACAAAACCTACCTACTGGGGGGATTATTTATCAGAGAATATGTGCTTATTCAGATATACACTAATGAATTACAAGCATTTACATGAATTATGACACATTTGTACTACATATGAGTATTGAAAATTGTGTTTATTATTGCTCCAAAGCTGTAATAGCACATCTATTTTCTGTTATGTATTAAGTATCTCTCAAACTTATTGTATGATTTGCAGGTAGGTTTTTTTGTTTTTGTTTTTTACTATTACAGAGTGGGCAGTGGATTTGGATCTTTTCTACTAATGCAACGCACAATTTAGTTTGTTTGTAATGCAGATTAACATTTTTCATATTCAAAATATGAAACAATTGGGCAGACTTTTTTCTGTTATAATTAAGAAATACAAACATTTTTTAATTTTATTTTTTAAATGAGTACGAAAGAGATAAATTATGTATATGTATCTTCATCAAAATGTGAAATAAAACTTTTTGCAACTTCTGGATTGGAAAAACTCAAATTTTGCTAAAATTTTCAAAACATCACACAGTCCTTAGGGTTCTCAAGGAAAATACTTAGGATCTGATGAATTTGGACTTTTTGCTTTCATGTATACTCAGAACACAATCACAAATAAAATCTAATTTTCAATGACAAAGGAATGGTTCAATGTCGCATTAAGCAAACTATTGAATTTCTATTAATAGATGATTAAATATGAGTGAAACTGTAAAAATTAAGCAGATAAAGTATTGAAAGAAATAAAAGGGAATAAAAAAGAAAAAACAAGAAGAAAAAATCATGAAGGTTTAAAAACTACAACAATAATATTTGAGAGAAGAACATTTAAAAGGTCATTTTAAGAGGAACTGATTGTGCAATATGCTATCAAAGATAAGAGAAAAGATAAGCTATAAAGTCAACCTGATTGCCAAGATTATTTGGATCCTCACATCAGAGAAGCTGCATAAAAAGACAGATTTCAGTACAGTAACATAGAAAACTTCCTTCAAGTTCCAATCCCCTTCTAGATCTAATGCTAATAAGATTAGCAACTCTTTAGTGCCAGGCTACAGAACATGGCAAATCTACTGAGGAAGTCCTAAGTAATGTGTCCATAGAAAAACATGCAAAAATAGATAAGAAATACTCCAACACAACAGTTTAAACGAAGAGGTAAGATGGTCTCCTAGGAGATTACAGGGACAATCTATCACCTGTTAAAACAGCCAATGCTAAAAGCATAAATGAGCTGTTTCACTATTCACAAAGGGAGTGGGAAGAGGGAGGAAAGGTAGATAATTTTTTCAATGGAGAAAGAAGATACAGACATGTCAGAACAGGGATCAAGAAATTAGTACATCTGAAGACTGACAAAACTCCAGGGGCAGTTGTATGTATCATCCCAGATTTAGGAAGGACCTGACAAAGTAAATATGGGAATGTTCAGTGGGTATATTCAAAACCTCTCTGGAAAAGCAGAGGTATGGGGGACTCAGTATCGACATTTGAGAAGGGAGCTAGAAAACATACATGAAAAATACAGACATGCAGTCGAGACTTTGGCAGTAGGGAACTTATGGGAAAAACTAAATTACAGGACAGAAAGTGGAACACCTGGAAAGTTACGATTTAATTAAGGACAGTGAGCATGGATTCACACCAAACAAGTCATACCTAACAAATCAGATTTATTGAGGAAGTAACAGAAAGACCAAGCAAAGGTTAAGCCATGGACATAAGGAAAGCTTTTGATACAGTACTGTAGCAAAGGCTAAGCCTGCAAGGTAAGGATACCAGTGAACCACAGAGTAGATGGAGCACTGAAAAATGAATTTACCAGAACAGACAATGTGCATAACACCTGATAGACATAGAATGAATGCTTCTGCAGCTACCCATATGACTAAAATTAGGAGTTTGGAATGAATCTTTGATATTTGCATTATGAACACAGGTCAAAGAATCTAATTTGTTTATTTATCTGATTTTGTACATTAAGGAAAACAACTCTAATTATTTCCATTAAGGAAAGAGAGATCTCATGAAGAGTAGTTAAACACCTTCTTTCATTTCTGAGTTTCAGCAGTTGCCTGGACCAGCCCGACAGAGATATTCTATTAATTTCTCTAGTGCTCTTAGCTACCCAGTAAAAATACACAATGAGATGCATGGAGCACACAAGCTGGGTGATGAGTTTCACCTGATAGTCTGTATTAGCAGTGTATGTACACGCACATCTAAGTGAGAACCAATATGAAAAAAAGGAAGGTTATAAAATTCTGAACAAACTAAAATAGGCTACTGGTTTTTCCCTTCCTGGGACCAGTCAAGTGGCCACTCCAATGACTGCTTGAACAGTTCCATGCTACAGTTGTGGGATGCAATAGTGACTTTTGACAGGGTTTTTAAAACACATCACTTACCACATCATCTCTGTCTTCCCACTCAACCTCAGAAAGATCCACACTACTATAGTTGGGCTTTCTTCGTTTCTTCCCTTCTTCATACTGGCATTAAAAAAAAAAAAAAAAAAAAAGTGAAATATTTAACATATTGTTTTGGTTTCACATCTTGTATCAGAAGACTTTTTTAAATTTGCTGGACATATGCTGATTGTATGCTATATGCTATAATACTACAAATAACAGTAGATAGCTTAATTCACGTAAGATGAACCATATTGCTACACATTGTCTGTGAAGTAAAAAAAAAAAATAAAAATAAAACAACACACAAAAACACACAAACAAAAAACTTCATACATGATTATTTGCATGATTTCTTTCCATATTACAAAGCTGATCTTGAAAGACACACTGAGAAGTCAAACTCAGGAGTTATACCTTTTTCTTTTCATATGGAACCTACATGAGACCTTCCTCTTGTAGTTTATGTTAAATGTCTCAAACTAGCTCTTTCAGCTGTACAGGAAGTTATATTTACTATAATCTTATCAAGAAAATGTTTACACGGTTCTTTTTAAACAAGATAAAATGCAAGTCTTGAGAAGTGTGGTGTTAACATTTGCTGATACCGTATTTTATCTACAACTTCATGGGAAAAAAAGTAATATACTAGTAATTATAATTCATAGTTTTTTATCACTAGTCACTGTTACCCCGTAAATCTCACATTTTAAATAAACATTCTAGTGACAAATTGATTTGACACTAGGGAGTTTATAATGTAGGAAATTCTGCCCTCTGCTGAACATTCAAGATCAGAGTCTACTAGTGTAAGAACAAAAGCCCTAATCTGTGAAAGAAAAAGTATTTAGGAAAGTCTGTGAATAAACACCTTAATCTAAATGTTTAAGAAAAATTATGAGAGTCTATTTGAAATGCATAAATAAGGGAGAAGATCTGTGAAAAAAAAAAAATGACCTTTTATCTTTTATTACTCAAATAAAGGCGGAGGATGACACCACCACTAGTCCTTATGTGGTATGACAAGAAACACTAGTGAGGATTCCCCCAAATCCTGCATCTTCCCAGCTTCTGTGACTCCCCAACAACAGAATGATAGAAAGGCAGTAAGGCAGTATATATCGTTGATTCTCCTGTGCAGAACCAACTGTGCCATAAACCAAAGCTGTCAGTGCTCAATTCAGCAGCCCATTCATCACTGGGGCCAGTGTAGCAGGGATTTTCAGTCCTATTCTGTAGATCACAGAGAGACCAGAGAAGCCAAAGAGACAACTTGCTCTCTGAGCATTTGAAAGGTTATTCCATCCTGACTTTTTCCAATTAAACGATTCTCAAGTGAATCCCACAGCTGACTTTGTAGGGTCACAGTATGTAAAAACAAGCATGACAAACTCTTCTTTAAGAACAGCAAAAAATGTTGACTACTGGATTGTAATCACAAAGAGATTTTGAGATATTGGTAGAACAGTAATATTTCTCAGATTTGATTTTTGCTCAAAAAAATGGATACTTCAATTATTTCTACAGATTACTCTCTGGGGAATCTATGTGGGATAAAATTCTGAATTATCATTTATTCTTTTGAGTAACAAAAAACTCTTAGCAACTCTGCTGCTGTAACTCTTAGACTGAGTTCTCACAATTCACGTGGATGTAATCGAAGAGTAATTTCATGCAGTCTTCCTGCCCCCATGCTAGAAGTTAGTGTTCTCATAACACCTAGTGTACTTCTGGGCTGATGCTATTCAACAGATGAGTAAAGAGACAAAGAATTACTCATTTCAGCACATGCTCATATACCAGATCGTGAATTCAAGCAGCTCAGTGCTCAGATTACTTCTTGCTACATGACTTAGCTCTGATAGCTGAAGAGATAACAAAACCCAAGTACAGAAACACAAAACTTTGAAGCTACCATAGTTAAATCTCACAAGAATAAAAAATGAGAGGATAATGTCTGGTACATTAGCAGGGCTTGATTTCTGTATCTTTCTATGTTTTGTAAACCTCTCATTGTGGTTGCAGCTATACCTGTATTACCTTTAATGTCTACAAGGAGTAACTATGCCTACTCTCTGGGGCTGTACCTATTAATCAAGTAAAGATTCGGTCTGATTTATTCTTACTTGTCTAGAAATGGTAGCAGTCAACCTCTGAAATGCTGAGAGCTGCACAATGTTACATAGAAGTTAACTGTTACATAGAAGTTAACATTTGAGTAGAACAAACGTAGAACAAAAGTAGAACTCTGGAGAGCAGCCCCGCAGAGAGGGTTGTGGTTGACAGCAAGTTGAATATGAGCCAACAGTGTGTCCTGGCAGCCAGGGGGGCCAACCGTATCCTGGGGTGCATCAAGCACGGCATCGCTAGTCCGTCGAGGGAGGTGATTGTCCCGCTCTGCTCTGCGCTGGTCTGGCCTCACCTCGAGTACTGTGTGCAGCTCTGGGCACCACAGTACAAGAAGGACATTAAACTGTTGGAGAGTGTCCAGAGGGTGACAAAGACGGTGAAGGGCCTAGAGGGGAAGACATATGTGGAGCAGCTGAAGCCACTGGGCCTGTTCAGCCTGGAGAAGAGGAGGCTGAGGGGGGACCTCATCGCTGTCTACAACTTCCTTGCTAGGGGGAGTGGAGAGGCAGGTGACCTATTCTCTGTAAACACCAGTGATAGGACCCATGGGAATGGTATTAAACTGAGGCAGGGGAAGTTTAGGCTGGACATCAGGAAGAGGTTCTTCACCGAAAGGATGTTTGCACACTGGAACAGGCTCCCCAGGGACATAGTCACTGCACCAAGCCTGTCTGAATTTAAGAAGCGATTGGACTGTGCACTTAGTCACATGGTCTAAACTTTTGGGCAGACCTGTGTGGTGCCAGGAGTTGGACTTGATGACCTTTATGGGTCCCTTCCAACTTGGGATATTCTGTGATTCTATGAGTCTAACAAATGTGAAATAACTCCTGTCCTGGTTCCAATGTTTAATTGCATCCTTACTCACAGATGCTGAACAGCTTCTGGGATGTGCTGCATTCTCAGACACATATGCAAAACCTTACTTATGACAATGGGAGTTGATGTTGTGTGTCTGACAGCAGAAGTTGGCTTCAAATGTACAGCAAATAATTTGCATCATATTGATTATGTTAATTTTAATTATATTTTAATCATATAGATTCCATACCTTGCATGCAAAGAACAAAAACAAAATCCAAAAGAAACTAAATAAAGAGCTGGACAAAACAAAGTTCTGCAGCGAAGACAGAATAAGAATTATCTCCATGTCAGAGAAGCAGAAAGAAAGCCAAAATCCCAGTGCTTAAGCAAGGGGTAGATTCCATAAACACTCAAACTGAAAGTGCAGATCTTAAGCGACATTTAGAACAGGAAGTAACAAAGTACTGAGAAGCCTAACCCCTCATTCAGTTATTAGGCTTTGGGGGACTAGTGTTGAGTTGCCTACACAAGACTTCAGTATGTGAAGAATGTTCATGATATAGTTTGGGAAAGGATGCAGAGAAAACATAAAAAATACTTCCATGAGGGAGATTTTGCTCTGATAAAAAAAAAAATAAAAATAAATTATTCATATATGTGGGTAACTTTACTTACACGTGTTCTTCATGAAGATTATTACATTATTCCCTGCAGTGAATTTACATATCCTTATGTAACTGGGGCCTAAAATATAACTGAGTCCTTCATATTACTGTTCAACAGGCCATTCTTTATTTTTGTTCTAGTTTTATTACTATTCTAATTTCTCAGTAAAAGTTATTCATGGACATGGAAGCAATCCACCAGCTTTTAAAAATGGCATTCATCTATGCCGTTTTCTATGGTAGCATACTGAATCTAGCTTCACTTTTATCTCTGTCTGAGACTCCTGGTTGTAGTATGAAATACTGATTGAAGGCTGAAGCCAATCCCATTTGCAAGATTACTATAAAGCACTGAAACAAATTAGTATAGGACCCATTGGGAAAGATAGAAACTAGGAGTTCTACCAAATTGCACTGATTTAAGTGCATGAGGAAAAGAACTAGATTTAAACTGTGTGCTGTTAATCTACTTTGGCCAATATAAAATGTGTAGTGATATTATATAGTAGATAAACCCTAGAAAAGATAAAAAAAAAAAGAAAGAGAGAGAGAGAAAGAGAGAAAGAAAGCCACTGAAATTTTTTAAATACCTGAACTGCGAATAAAGAATCTTTTAGTCTGCTCAGAATTTAATGTTAGCTTCAATATTCTTTTGTTTGTGGAAAGAACAGGGGAAATAATTTTATTTGGTAATCAGAATGAGCTTTATCTTCCTCAGTATCTTTTATTTGAGGCTTGGCCAAACTGTTATAGGACTGGATGATTCAAACAATGTGTGACGTGTACTGCTTAAAGACTGAATCACATTTTTACACCACCCCCTATACAACCATTTACATGTGCCATTATTAAACTTTTCACTTTGATATTCTTTTTATTTTTTTCTTTTTTAACACGAACAGTCTCAAACCATCTGCACTGAATATGATCTGCCACGTGTTTATAAGTCAGAGCGTAGCAATCTGATCATGGAAGGAGCAAACTACATCTTAACAGCTGCAAGCCTTGGGTCTAAGGTGATAGTAATTTCTCAGATGTGGTCCATCTGGATAATGGAGAGGTAGGAGAGAGTAAGTTGCTCTGATAGTGTCAGAGCAACTTTGAATTGCTTGGAAGTGTCAATAGACAGTGAACTTGCTTAGCCACATTTGTGGAATCATCTGTGAGAAAATACGATATCAAGAAAGTATATAACAAACAAACACCAAAAGCTGAAGAGGTAAAATAATTTCAAGGGAAAAACCTCCTCCACCCAAACTACTATCCAGTGTACAAAAGTAGGAAGTCAGGAAGTAAAATAAATAAATAAATAAATAAATAAATAAAATCACTCCTATTTTAAAATGCAGCATCAGTTGATTAAGTTTCATCATTATGGATTAGTACTTCAAAATTAGGATAATGTATTAATTTAAATAGAACCTCAGAATTATCCCCACATTTTTTTTAGAGAGATGAATAAATGCAAATATGCTTTGCTGA